TATCCACAGTGACTTATCAACTCTTTTACAAAAAATAAGGTGCGTGGATTAAAAAATATTGTGGTCTTAAACAATTTATAATGTCATGTTTTGGTAGATTTACGAAGGGTATGTTTGAATTGGGATGCAAACAAAATTAACTGGATAATACTCTTTATCAAATATTCGCTGATATAAAATTTTTATTTCATAATTTTTTTTGTTGATAATGTAATTATTATAGGTGATGAGTATAAATAAAGTTGGGAAAAAAATTGCCATAAAGTTTGAAATTGGACTCGTTGAGCTCAAATATTTTTTGGGTATAAAGTGGCTTAATAATAAAAATGAAAATTTAAATCTCGTATATCTTTTGAGAAAAATTATAAATGACTAATTCCAAGCCATGATAAACTCCAATTAAGTTAGGTCAGAAGCTGAACATAGGTTAAGTAGGTACAAAAGTCAACATTGGACAATTTCAAAATTTTGTCAAAGAAACTTAACTATGTGCCCTACCCTTCTCTTGACATTTCTTTTGCAATAAGCCTCGTAAGTCAATTTGTGCAAACTTAAGAAATCTTACCTTTAAACTATTTACAAATTTCTCACTAAAGGGGATTCTGTAGAAAAAACATGAAACCCTATAAATTGAGGATTATACTGATGTTGATTGACTATACTTGTTTTGTAGTGTATAGGAGATCGACTTTAGAATATTGCATACTATAAGGAGAAAAATTGGGTATTATTGCGAAGCGAAAAACAACTTAAGGCCCGTTTGGGGCATCTTATTTGGTGTGGCGGCGTTTTGAAAATGAACCACGTCTGTTTGGGTAAACTTCGTTTTGACAGCTTATGCGTTTTCAAAACGTTGAAAACAACGTTTTCACCCACACCTATCTAGGTGTGGTGACAGTTTTTTAGCTACGGTCCGGCTTTTCCAAAAAAATAAAAATTTGTAATAACGACCGCACCTAGCTTATCAACATATTATTTTTACCAGCTTATCAACAGATTATTCAATAAGTTGCAGCTGCTCCAAACAGACCCTTAATGTTATGTGGTCAATTGTTGAATTTGACTATAAAATTTAAAAATCAAATGAAAAGTTACCATAATATTATACTATGACATTGAATATGTCATCAACATTTTACACAATTTAGTATAACATAATCGAATTAAGTAGGTGTAGATGGATAGGCATTTCATAAAAATGAAACTATAAAGTAGGTTAATTTTTGTTACACATATTTGAAAAGTTAACTCACTGCATTTAACAAAATATTTTGCAACTTTACATTCAGTAATATCTTAAAAAAACTTGGAATTTTAGATCTCTACCATCTAAGTTTTGGGAGAGTGTTAAAAAGTATTTAAATACAAGTGGAATTGGCAATCTTAGATTGCTAAATAAGGTAAAAAAAAGAGCCACAATTTCATGTGCTACATAAGAGAAAATATGTGCTACAAATTTATATGTTTAACGTGAAAATTGAAGTGCCACGGATTGCTTCGTTATTTTCATGACCAATATTGAAAGTTTTGGACAGCATGTTTAGTTTTATTTTTATAATTATTTTTTAATATTATTTTCTATATATTTTTATCTATAAATGCCTATTAGAAGGAATGAACAATGTCAGCTTTCTAGCCACTTAATTCTTTTAATAATTATTATGCACACATCATCTTGTGTCTTGCATAAGCAGTGAGGAAGTAGATCAATCATGAGATGGAGTAAAGTTCAAGGATAATGATGTCAGGAGAGCAGTAGCCAAATAGAGATTTGTTGATATAATAGCAACAAAGAATAGTCTTGTCGATTTGGTGGCAATTGACAAACTAGACCGACATATGTCATTAATGAGTCTTGTCCAAGTTATGGAGATTTATTTTAAGAGGGGTATGTCTTCAAAATTTGTGAATAGCCATATGCCATAATTCTGAGTAGGATTTTAAGTTCCACTGAAGTTGTTTGTTTACTCAAATTAAACCTTAAAATATTCAGGTCCCCCTTCACTTGATTAATGCGGCACTAGACCAATGTGATTGATGTGAATTCATAATTGCTTTAATGTTTAAGTTCCTTAAAATTGCTTCAAAATTATATGCATCCAATTGGGCCTGAAGGCACAGACATAATTGCTGCAACTTGCAATCCTCTTCGAAGAGAATAACAACAATAACAAAGCGTTAATCCCACTACGTGGGATCAGCTACATCAATCATTTTTCTCCATTGAGTCCTATTTAGCGCATATTTTCATTTAGTTCTAATAAATTAAGATTATTTTTTATACAATAAGCCTAAGTTTTCCTAGGTCTACCTCTAACTTTCTTCGAGGAGAACAATAAAAAAATTTATATATTGAAATAGGACACATTTTTAAATCTTAACATATCGTGCTACCGTATGGAGAATAACTAGAACTATTCTGCACCATTACATTTGATGTAGCTACATCCTAGGAAAAAATAAAAATTTAATTAGAAGGCGGCCAAGTAGGTTGCATGTTAATAAGAATTGTTTTGATTTCTAACTCATAAAGCAAATGAAGTCTGTAAAGCCATTAGATGGTGGCACATGAATTTGTTCTTGTAGTGGTACTTTTGTCTTAAATCATAAGGCCGATTTTGATGATTGCATGCGTATATTTGGGGCAAATCTTACAAATCAAATGTGCTAGGGGAGAAGATTAAGGAGACTACAAGGTTTAGATCGTACCTTAGATGTGCTTTTCTTTTGAAATGAGTAATGGTGGCTCACAACCCATGGCACAAATAATGGATTTCATGTCTATGAACCATTGAACATAATAGCTTTATAGGGTGAAGAAGGTCCTCTTTGTAATTTGGGTCATTTACATACATACCACACAACTCTTATGTATTTACATATCTAACACCTAATCTTTAATATTCACATTCAGAACCCTCAAATCTTTAACATTATAGTAAAAAACACCATTTTATTAACTTTTAAAAGTTGGATGCACCTTTTTATACATAGATTTATAGCACTAAGGTATTATAAATGTAAATATGAAATTATAGGTGTTAGATATGTAAATCTGTAAGAATTTTGTGGTACGTATGAAATTTCTCTTGTAAATTGTCACTCTTTGGATCCTTATGTGTTAGATAATTTCTACTTCTATTCCTTTTGAGGAGGCTGGGGTTACCATAGGCAAAAAGTTCATGTATCTTTGGAGTTGTTAAGTAAAAGATTATTGTGACTATCGGACATAGGCGCCTTAGAGGCTTACCTCCCAGTCATTTCCTTTGCTTAAACCTCCTGTAATAAGAATGGCAGATGGCTAGCTGAGTGGTGTTGCTATATTTATTGTGGAGTTAGCAGACTGGAATGGCGTGCCACTTTTGAGGCTATTAGGCTGGCACTAAGGGTGTGCATTGTTTTGATCAAAATCGAAAAACTGAACCGAACTGAGCTGATTTGGTTGATTTGGTTCAGTGGTAAAATAATAATTCATTTTTTTTTGTTTTAAAAATTTTAATAACCTTTAAAACAAAAAACCAAAAAATAGAATAATATTAAGATTAAGAAATTAAATTCATTTGGGAAATAAAATAAACCGAGTATATGACATGTTTATTTTAGATTAGTTTATTTTAGGTTACTTCGAAACTTTCTAATTTTAAAGAGATGGCGAGGAGATAAGAAAGATAAGTGAAATTTTAATTTTGAAATAGATCCTTAAAATTTAATTATTTTAGGCCAATTGCTAATCTTTTTTTTTTTTTTTTGCTTCAAACGGCACCAATAAACCGAATTCTATTTCAGTTTGGTTTGGATCTGTTTTAGCAAAAGGTTGATCGGTTTGGTCTTTTGGATTTTGGATTTGGTTTTCATTCAGTTTGATTAATTTTTGAACCTATTTATCCGAACTAACCGATTGCACATTCATGGATGCGCACTAATTCATTTGTTGGGCTTTGAGAGATTTGCGGGTAACTGTTTGTTTGTGGCCTATTGGAGTCGACATCTTATCCATCCAGAGTATGTTGATCATAGCAAGCTTTTCTGCACAATCATCGATTATTTTCTTGAATCGAACAATCAACCATTAGCTCTGGGCTGGCTCACCGGCTCTGAGTGATACATCCTCTTGTTCCTGGCTTTTGGTCTTTAAACAATGAGCGATGAGCCTGAGTTTGCATACAATTGATTTGACATTGAACATTAGGCGGTACATCGGAACCGTCTGGCATCCAAGGTTTTACTTAAAACGAGGAACCAATCTATAGCCACAATAGACACTAGGAAGATTGACATACTTGCTACTCGATTCTTATGTATTTACATTTCTAACACCTAAGCTTCAGTTTTTACATACGCACGATCTTTCCTATGCATGAAAAGGTGTATCTTACTTTTAAATGTTAAAATGGTGGGGTTTTTTATGTGATATAAAAGATTTGGGTGGCATAAATTTAAAAAGGAAAGCATTGGTGTTAAAATATGTAAATACATAGGAATTGGGTGGTATGTATGTAAATTCGGCTAGACTTTATGGTTATTTGTTTATGCGTTATTTTCTACTCTTTTTGGTGCCATGTGATATTTAGTCCCCAACATTTTCTTTTAACAATCTTGTAGTGATTGATTCTGATACATCATGTGTTATCATGACTGATATCTATTACTGCATTGATTATAGTTTTGGGGCATTTGCTTATATACCATCCAATTCCTATGTATTTACATATCTAGCATCTAAACTGTACCTTTTTTTTGCATTTTTACCACCTAAATTCTTAATATCACATCAATAACAGTACTATTTTAACTTTTAAATGAAATTCATCTTTTATGCATAGGTAAGGTGGCATCTATGTGAAGCTTAAAGTTTAGGTGCTAAGTGGTATTATGTAAATCATCTCATAATTTTTACTCTTTAATATATTGCATTTGACACTTCTAGTTTGATAATCGCAATCAAACACTTGAAAAAAAAATTATCGTTAATATGATATTGGGAACAAAATGCAATTTAGATGATGGGGCAAATAAACCGTGAAAGGTTGGGCGAATTTCTCGGCGAGCTTCAGCGCAAAGAAGACACGAATGATCGGTATGTTGCCGCTCTGAGAGGGGAGACGCTGACACGAAAACCATATCAGAGAATTCAACCTGTTCCGAGTCCGACCTCTGCCGCTGCTGAAAATGCTGCCAAAACAACGAAATAATTTGCGCAGCCGCTAATCGATGAATAGGTTTGTAATTTGTTTAGAAATCCTTCTTTCTTAATTTGTTGGCAGTAGAAGACTTTGTTTTTGTTCAGGGGCATTTACATACATATCATCAAATTCCTATGCATTTATATGTTTAACACTTAAATTTCAGTCTAGTACTCGCAGTTATTATATTTAACACTTAAATTTACATTCATACCGCACAGTTTTTATATATTTACATATCTAACAATTATAAGTTTGATATTTACATTTATTACACATCGGCGTAATAAATCCTTGCTTGAAAGGATGGATTTAATTTTTTAAAAGATAGCAATGGTCTTATTTTTGTTGCGATTTTAAATGTTTTAGTGGTCTGCATGTAAATATGAATGTTTTAAATACATAAGAATTGTGTGGTATGTATGTAAATGCCCTTAAAAGGTTTTTACCAACCTGTTTGGTAGATACAACCTGACTTACTTTGGAAACTGGCTGCTTCAATTCTTTTGAAGCATTTGTTTTTTGGGGAATTTATATATATATATAATTTACAACTTTTATTTTTACAAACAGAGCACCTAACTTAACAGTGCATCCCACTTTTTAGAAGTGAAATTCACATTTTCATACATATGCAAGGTGTTGTATTGGTAAAAATTCAAGCTTTGGTGTGATATAAGTAAATGCATAAGAATTGGGTACCATGCAAATTTCCATTACATACATATTTATCACTCAATTCTTATCTATTTACATATGTAACACCTATAATTTACATTTTACTTTTATACCATGGAAAGATTTTACATCACATAAAAAATGTTACTATTTAGTTTTCAAAATGTGAAGTAAATATGCTCAAGTTTAGGTGCTTGATGTGTGAATGCATAAGAATTTAGTGGTATTTATGTAAATCATCCTTTTTTTAAATTTAATTTTATTTAATTTTTCTTATGACTTTGCAAGGAAGCATTTATTTTTATTTATTTATTTATTTTACTTCTCAATGAAGCTTCAAACATCACTAAGGCTAATGGATCTTCATAAAATTTTGGTGGAATTGTCATATATTAAATGGCCCTTTCCTGCAATTCAACTTTATAGAAACTAATCGCAAAGTATTTTTAATTTATTAGTTTTTATAGGGAAATATATAAACATGAGACAATTTTTATCTATTTAAATATCTTTATAGCTTGAAAGTATCGCCTCGTCGAGCTGGAGGGATTGACGTCGCTGGAGATGTGCCAACATCTAGGTACTTGTTGGGTTAGCCACTCTAGTCGGCCATCTTCATTCAATCGACCGGCTAACTAGGCCGACCAACCCCCAATCAATCGACCAACCAAAATCGACCAGTTACTTGGGCCTACCAACACACCACCAATCGACCAACACCTGCCCTGACCACCTGATGCCGATGAGTCCAATGACGAGAAAGCATCTGGACAATGGATCCAAGCAAGAAAAGTACTGTAGTATCTCTACAACCCACCATTAAGCAAGCACATAAATGTAATCTTCCTCTTCCTCTTCACTTTTCTTTATAAATAGAAGGAACTTAGCATGTGATAAGTTTTAATGGGCTCTAAGCCCTTGTCCCCTAAGCTCTCTCTCTCTCTCTCTCTCTCTCTCTCTCTTACCTCTGTGTGGGGAGCACGCTCTCTTTCTTTTCTCAATCGTAACCTTACTTTGTGTGGAATAAAAAGACCCAATAAGCCCGGGGAACACCCTTCTTTTCCTCCCAATGGGGCCAGTCTCTTTTTCTCCTTCGCTCGGGCTTCAAACTCTATTTCTTCAATCCAAAGGATAAATTTAGATTTAACTTTCAAAAATGTGCGGTGAGCTTGAATATTGCCATTGGGGGAAGAAGAAAAGAGAAAGAAACAAAAGAAATAAAAAGTATTCGTTGGGGGAAAGAGGACAAAAATCAAACGGAGAGTGAAAAGATAAAAGGTAAATAAATAAGAGAAAAATGACAGAGTAAAATGAAAAAAGCAAAAAAATAAAACAAAAAAAAGAAGAAAAAGTAAAAAAGCAAGTAGGAGAAGAAAGAATCTCTCATACTTCAAGAGAAAGAAAATCTTGTACAGAGGGACAAAAAAAAGATAAGCATATATTTTTTTCACCTTGCTTATTTTTCTTTAAAATAAGAAATAAAAAGACAAAAATATAGCTCTTCATCAAAGCCTTCCTTTAGGAGTGAGCAAATAAAGTCTCTCTCCATCAAATCCTCTTCTTCGAAATAAACAAACAAAATATTTCTTCATTAAAGTCTCTCTTCTGAGATGAGTAACCAAAATCTCTTATCACACTCAACTTTAAGAAACACCCAAACCCCAATTTAGAAGCTCAATTCGGAAAAAAATTATGTAGGTGGTTCTTTGCCTAAGTCGACAAGATTCACAAAGAGTACAACACAAATCACCCAACCAGCGAGTCTCGATGGTTACCCTGGTGAAGGCAGCGATAAGATCTGCCAAAGTCACGACAAAAGATGCGGCCCCACGGCGATGATGTTCCGGCAAGAGCAAAAGAGAAGTGTAAAGAGTGGGACGAGTTGGGAATTTTTTTCTTAAAAAAACACTTAAGTGATTATGTTCTCAAAAAATCGACTCACAAAAGACTAACAAAAAGATTATTAAAAAACTAAAGTAAAGTTATAGACTAAGGAAAAAATGTTTTTTGTACTTATGTGTTTTTCATTCTTATTGAAGCTTCACTTCCAATAAGTGAAAAACTTAGGGATTCATGTATAGCCTGAATATATCGTGTCGTCGAGCAAAAGGGATCTCCTTCGCCGGAGACACACCAACTGCAACATACTCGTCAGGTCAATTTCCTTGGCTGAAAATCTTCATTCAACGAGGCAAACACCATCAACCATCCGACCACCATGGGTCAGCCAAATGGAGTCTAGCCAACCGGCCACTTGAGCCGACAATAAATTATTCATCTGACCATCTAGGACAGCCAAACTCCCACCAGTTGGCCACCTTTGCTGGCCAACCTCTACAGGCCAACGACCATCTGGGCCGACCAACTCCTAACTGGCAAACTACTTGGGTTAGCCAACACATTCCGGCCAGTTACTTGTGCCAAGACCAACCAGCCACCTGGGCCAACCACTACATATCGGCCGACCACTCGACGCTGATGGTCCAACGACAAGAAAGCTCCAAGACAACATATCCAAATAAGAAAAAAGGACCCGATGACCCTTTACAGTTCGTCATAAAGTAAAGATATATATATAATCTCTCTCTCCCTCATTTCTTTATGTAAATAGAAGGATCTTAGCGTGTATTAAGGGTTTTGGGTCCTAGGCCCTAGGCCTTTGGCTCATAGGCTCTCTCTCTTACCCCTATATAGGGAGCACACTTCCCTTCTTCCCTCATTTGTAACCCTACTTTGTGTTAAATAAAAGATGCTAAAGAATCTAGGGAACTCCCTCTTTGCCCCCCAGCGCGGCAAGGCTCTATGTCTCATTTTTCTTGGTATCAGATTTAAATTCAACAATAACTAACACTTAAAAGTCTGACATTTATATTCATTCATAAAGGTATAAACTTTTGTATCATATGCTGCTAGAAAGTTGAAAATAATGATATTTGTTATGTGATTATGTAAATTTTAACTTGTCATCTATGTAAATATCAAAGTTTAGATTTGAAATATAAGAATAGATAAAAAGTATGGTACCATTATTTTATAGGGGACTTTAACATGAGATATCTCGTGAACATACAACCATGAAGAAAGGTAGAAGAAGATTATCCGACCTGACAAAACTAGCTTTTTTTTCTTTTATGGATACTGAAAGAATTAAATTTTTTTTTAGCCGAGCAAAGTTTCCCCTCGGTTGCTTCAGCGCTCCAAGCCAATGGAGCTTCTTAAATCACCGAACTCCATCTCTAAATTATCTTGGACGAACTCCGCCTCCGCCGCCGCCATTCGCCTCGTTTCCTCTCCACCGAAGCTCTTCCTCTTCAAATCCCGCCTCCTCCGCCGCCTTCATCCCCTCGCCGCCGCCGACCTCCACGACTCCAACGCAGCCGTTTTCACTCTCAAGCACTGCTCCTCCTTCCCCCTCTCGACCACCATCCTCCTCATTCCCTCGCTTCACGCCCTTCTTCTCAAAACCAACCTCCTCTCCTCCATCCACGTCTCCTCCTCCCTTCTTCACACCTACTCCCTCTTCTCTGCCCCCCACGCCCTTCGCCTGTTCGACGAAACCCCCAATCGAAACGTCGTCACTTATAACACCGTAATCACCTGTCACGCACGTCACGGAAACATTTCGGCCGCCCGCGAACTGTTCGACGAGATGCCGCAACGAGATATTGCATCCTGGTCCGCGATTATTTGTGCCTACTTGCATTCTGGTAATCCTTCCCACGCTTTTTCTCTATTCCGAGAAATGAATCTAAGTGGAAAGATTAAGCCTGACGCACTTATCCTTGTCAGCATGCTCTCTGGTTGTGCTGACAGCGGCTCGCTTTCCCTTTATGGTAAATCAATGCATGCCTTCATGGAGAGGAACCACATGGATGTCAGCGTTCAGCTTGGAACCTCATTGATCGACATGTATGCCAAATCTGGTTGCATGAAAAGTGCTTTCTTTGTCTTCGAGAGAATGCCTGAGAGGAACGTTATGCACTGGACCGCCCTGATTTGTGGTTTAGCTTCTCACGGGCATTGTGAGGAAGCTTTGACTTTTTTTGAGAGGATGAAGAAGGCTGGCGTCAGGCCTAATGAGATAACCTTTACTGCTGTCCTGAATGCATTTCGTCATGCCGGTTTGGTTGAGGCTGGTTATAATTGCTTCTGCAACATGGTGAATGAATTTGGTTTTGAGCCAGGAATTCACCATTATGGCTGTATGGTCGACCTGTTTGCGAATTCAGGGAGGATAAAGGATGCTTTGTCTTTGATCCGGAGCATGAAGGTGGAGCCAAATGTGGTGATTTGGACTTCGCTTCTGGCAGCCTGCAAGAGATACAGGAACTTTGAGATGGCAGAGAAGGTGATTGAGGAAGTTCTTCAGATCGCTGAACCAGATGATGATGGTGGGGTTTATGCTCTTGTGTCTGATTTATATGCGTTGGGTGGCAGGTGGAATGATGTTCAGAAAGTGAGGGGATTGATGGAGAGGTTAAATGTGAAGAAGAAAAGAGGATCCAGCTTCATTGGTATGGAAAATATTGGGGTAAAGTAGCATCCAGTAACAGATGAGGAGTTTCTTAACAGTTTTCATGGATGGATTCGAAAGGAATCATTATAAACAGGCAAAGTTGTTCTAGTAAAAGGAAGGAAAGCAGAGCGTACAGCATAACAAGCCAGGATGAAACTACTCTGTAGAATAAAAATCGGTAGGCTTCAAAGCATGCAGAAGCCTCGGCCTGTGCTGACACTGATGAAGGAGAAGCTTGGAGATAGAGTTGAGGGGGAGTATATAGCTCGAGATAGGTCATAGTGCCAGTTGCCATTGAAGGAGGGGCATTTAAATACATACCACCTAATTTCTAGGTATTTACACATCTATTACATAAATTTTACTTTTTATATTTAAACCACTCAAATCTTTCATATCACATCAAAATTCCACTAAAAATGAAGTCTATGTGATAGATATGTAAATTCATAGGAATTGAGTGGCATGCATGTAAATCTCCCTTTAAAATTTTGCTGGAAATGAGTTATTTCTGGCGAACCAGCAAATCTAATAAAATGATGAACACCAAATTACTTGATGCGGGAATGGCAAGAGAGAAAAGAAGCCAAGGGGGTCAATTATGGAGAAAGCAAGGATGGCTAATTCTAGCCCCTTTGTCAGTATTTATTGTCACTTTACCCTATTGATTTGATTTCTATTTTAAATAATCCAATAATCTTTGGGTCACAAATCTATAAGTTTATGACAGAAAATGTTTAATTTTTATTAATAATTACTTTTTAATTAATATTTCTATCAAAAGTCGAACGGGGTTCTTGTTCTGAAAGTTTTGTTTTTTGCTTAACGTTGGATTGGTCAACCACCATTAGAGTGAGCTAATGTCAGATTAGTCAATCACGTACGTTGTTGATATCGGGGCAACTCGTTTTGCTGCCTTTTTCAACAATAGATTGATTAAACTTCATCTTTTTTTCTATGATAAATGCTAGATCATAAAATATAAAAATATGATTGTCTTCTTCTCAAATAACTGCTTATGAGATTGAAATCTTTCCATGGAAATCAGATAACAGAAGGCAGAAGGAAAGTTTTTTGGGATTTTACATTCTTCATTCACAATGGTCATGAGGCATTTTTCAGACAAACCACACATTTTCATATATGCTGTACTGTCATTACTCTATTTCAATTGAACAAAACAAATCAGTATGAGCACCAAAACGCCATATTTACATCAAATCTCAAGTAAAGATCAATTTTTTTCCGGCTTTAACAAGCTTACCGTCGGCGACGAATCAGCTGCAGCCGACGAAGCCGCATCCGAGCTGTTGGTGTTATAATCACTGGACATACCGCCGGACGAGGAAGTGTAAGTAAACCTGCACATCTCGAGCGGCGGCGCATAGTACGTCGGCACCGGCATCTTCCCCGGCAGCTCCGGTAGCGGAGCTTCAAGCTTAAGCGCAGCCATGGCCTGCCTTATCGATGGCCGTAACGCACTGTCCGGGTGCGAGCACCACAGCCCAACGATCATAAGCCTCGACATCTCCCCTTCGTCGAACTCCGAGTTCAGCCGCTCGTTGGCGCAATCAAGCATCACCCCTCTCCCATACAGCTCCCACACCCACGAAACAAGCCAGGCCTGTTCTTCCGTCCGATCGTGTTCGACGGGCCGCCGGCCGCATGCGAGCTCGAGCGCCACCACTCCAAAGCTATAGACGTCGGTTTCCTTGCTGGCTTTGCCGGTAGTAACGATTTCCGGCGCTAGGTAACCCATTGTTCCAGCGAGCATCGTCGTCTGCGATCCCCGCTCGTGGTCAACTAGCCTTGCCAGGCCAAAATCGCCGAGCTTGGCATTGAAATGGCCGTCGAGCATTACATTACTGGGCTTCACGTCCCGGTGAACCACGCATTCCTCCCATTCCTCATGCAGGTATAACAGAGCGCTTGCAAGCCCCACTGCAATCTTAAACCTGTTGATCAATTCCAGTTCTTGCTGTATCAGAAAACAGAATACACAAAGTCTGGAAGACTAAAATTTCCAGCTATTTTTTCAGTTACCTCAAGTGCCATGACAGATATCTGGTTCTATCTCTGCTATAAAGATGGGAATCTAGGCTGCCGTTGGGCATGAACTCATAGACAAGGAGGAGCTCCTTCCTCTCATGGCACCATCCGACGAGCTGCACCAGGTTGCGGTGGCGGAGGCGGCTGATGACCTTGATCTCAGAAATATACTCTTTCTTCCCCTGTTGCGAACCTTTTGAAACTCTTTTGATAGCAACTTCGAGCTTGGAATCTGCAAGTAATCCCCTGTATACGCCGCCGAACCCCCCTTGTCCGAGCTTGAGCTCGTCGGCGAAGTTCCTAGTCGCCGCCGCGAGCTGTCCAAAGGGAAATTTTTTCGGCCCTCTGCCCTTCTCAAACTCACCCTCGTCTATATCTTCAGCATCGTCTTCTTCTTCTTTCAAGTCGCCAGCTTTTTTCTTTCTCCGTAGAAAGTACCAGAGGAAGCTTGCAGCTACCAAGAGTAAGCCTGTACTAACACTTATTCCTACGATCAAACCAACTCTTTTCTTCTTCCCAACATTCATGGGAGTAGAACTGAACTCCCATGACAGAATACTGTGCGTCTCCGCAGACGACCCTGTTGCTGCCGAGAACCCAATGGCGACCTCCTCCGGGAGGATCTTGCTGAGGTTAACGATGTGGTAAAGGCTGGACTTTCCCTCCAAGTTTGGTTTATTGTCGTAAGTCAATAAAACGCTGAGATTCATGGTGGTGGCGTTGTAACTGATCCAAGCGTTCGCTTTCCGGCCATCCTTGATGTTGCTGTTCCACGTGACGGTTGCAGCTGACTTCATAGAGTTGATGTTGATGCCAACATGGTTGGCGTTGGGATCCCAATCGTTCTTGTAAGTATCGAACTCGACGGCGAGGATTCGGTTGGCGGATTCGTTGAGGGTGTTGTTTCTTTCGACAAGGCCCATTGATCCACCTGCGGAGTCGGGGGGGACGACGGAGGGGAAGGGGGAGAGGAAAAAGGCGAGGCCGTCGGCGGAGTAGGATTGGTTGAAGGCGTTGATGGTGAAGGAGAAGTGGGTGGTAAAGTCTGCGGACTTGCAGGTGGTGGAGTCGTGGAGTGGGATGGGTGTTCTGTAGTAGGCTCTGCCCACGCTTCCGGTGATTTCGGAATTGTACTCGTTTTTGGTGAGAATGATGGCGCCGTTCAAAAAGGTGTCGTTTTGGAAGGCGATGAACTGCTCCGTGGATGAATTGAAGGAGGGGAAGCTGAAAGAGAGGGAGGTTGCAGTCGGGAGCACTAGGTAGACGAAGATGAACAATAGACAAGAAGAAGAAGAAGAAGAAGAAGAAGCCATTGCTTGGTGCCAGTGGAAAGGAAGCTTTTCTTAAGTTGTTTTGGGGAAAGGGTTTGCAATTGAGGAAGAAGCCGTAGAATTGGTATGCTTGGTTTTCGTCAACGCAAGGATTGGAAGGAGTCAGGGGTGGTGATTTGGTCCTCCCTTGTTGTGGGAAAAATTAATACATACGGACCGATCCCGTAGATCACCTGATCTACGGTTTCGATGTATTTTGGTGGGTGCCACCGTGATCTACGGTCATGATCGGACACCGCATGCAGAGACGCAATAATCTCTTCCCTTGTGGTGGGGCCTGTGATGTGTTTTTTTGTGAATTGAAGGGCGGGCGAAGGAGTGCTAAGTGCCATCTTGTAACCGGTGCATGTCAACTCTTTATTGTATAAGAATGATATGCTTTTAAAGCCTAATTTTAAATTGAAATTAAGCTGATAAAGAAGTGTTTCAAGGATTTTGTATTTAAATCAAAGGTTTCATATGGAGCAAATATATTTTTTATCTGGATAAAATATCATAAATTTGATAGAATATTACATTTAAATAACTTTTTGGAAAATATTTTTATATATGGGCTTTAAAGGTTTCACCTGGTCAATACTTATGTAAATTAAGAAAAAATATATTTTTTTTTATTATTTATGTAAAAAAATTATAAATTTTATAGGGGCAATTGTCTGCTTTAGACATAACCTGATTAATAAATCATTTCACCATATTTTAGTTTATTTATTACTCTATTTTATCATTTTATCTTATTTCTATTTCTTATATATATATATATATATATATATAATTTATCTTAAAAAAATGCAAAATGTTTGCAAATGTGAATTTCTTAAAATCATACGGGGTTCATTTTGCCAACTTTTTTTTAATTTGCATATTTTAGCTATAAAAATAATTCATATGAAATGTATGAATAAATTTAAGCTTTCTTATAATTATGAAATAGCAAACAACATCTCCTTAAAGAAGCACAATATCTTTTGAATATAACATTGAATCTATTGTGTGAGAAATGGAATTTGAGCGCCAAAAATAGATTTGAGAATATTCAAAGAAAAAATTAGAACAAAGGAGCACAAAATAAAGGGACATGGATGAACACAAAAATACATGAGAATAAGAAAAAATCACGAAGCTACACTACAAATATGGATAAATTAATATAAATTACAACACAAAAAAGCCTTTTTATACCTTTGAACACAATAAACTTCTTGCGCAAAATAATTCAAAATTGTTTTACATCACAATTGTCGAAACTAAAACTTTGAGCGGCTAATTAACCAAATTTGGTCACTAATGTCGACACATTGTGATAATAGAGCTGCATCCAAGCTGCAGCCAAGCGTTGTGATGCCATGCTCTCAGATTTTGGACTTGGATTTGATGTTATTGTTGTGAAAAACAACGACAATAGAGCGAAAAATGAAACGAGAAAAATTGCACGCATAAGAACACCAGAACGACCCGCAGATTTACGTGGTTCGACAAATTTACCTACGTCCACGGAGCTGCAGAGGATTTTATTTCTTCGAGAAATTACACCATCGAGCGTCTCAATGTTTATAAGAAAATCTCTTCATTCTTCCTCTCTCTCTCTCTTCCTCTCTTTCTCTTTTAGAAGACTTGGCTTGACCTTGCTTGGCTTATGACAAGCCATTAGATGCTATTTATAAAAACTAGGAGAGCGGTAGGAGGTAGGTAAGTGAGCGGTAGGTGGGAAGGTAGGTGAGCGATATGTGGGATTCTCAATTAAAAGCTAATTAAATTGCGGTGGACCGGGTTTTCACATTACCCAACAATTCTCCCACTTGGAGACTGAGGCATTGACTGCATCACATACTGGCTGCATCATCTACTAGTTGTACCGACCTTTTCCTCAAACATGATATCCTCCACCTTTGCAACTTAAAGCCCTAGCCTTCATGCCATAAGATCGGTTGAAGTCGAGCACAACTTCAGTTTCTCACAAGTAACGCCCTTAGTTGACATATCACCGTCAACGTAGCCTTGTACCACCAAACTCTTTCTTGGGTTATTCTTGTATCTTACAACTCCCACTGCATAAGCAATATTCTACCCATGCTGAAAGCCTTTTTCAACAAGTACAGTCTTGTACCTCTTACTGTCACCAAGCGTAGTATTCACTCGGCACACCCACTTATTGTGCAATGTCTTCTTTTCTGGTGGAAGTTCTATCAGCTCCCAATCTGATTCCTTGGCAGGGAATCCGTCTCAATCTTCCTAGTCAGCTCCCACTTGCTCGAATTCTCATCTTACAAAATTTCTTCATAGCTCTGTGGTTCTCCACCATTTGTCTGTACAAGGTACGATTTTCCTACTTTTGGTGCTCTATCACTTTTCAGGAAAATTGACTTTTTTCTGCTTCCCCATAACGCACTTCTGACTCAAGTGTCCATGCATGAGTAAACTTATATTCATATATAGTGTGTCAGTTTTCTTACCCCGAGCAGTACTAATGCTCCTTTGATAACCTTCTAGGTCCTAGATGAGAACACTACCAAATGACCACTGACCAAAGTAAAATATGTTGAGATTTTCGTATATCTTTTACATTTTTTTAATGATATTGCACTTTAAAGAAAGATATTTTTGATGTTTTTTTGCAGGAATGATGAATTAAGGTCAATGGAGCAAAAAGATGCAAAAAGGAGCGAATTTAGAGCAAAAATGACCAAAATGTGGAGAATTACACTAGGGCATCGACGACGCCATTGACGGCGCCGACGGCGAGATTTTCTCGAGGCTACAGGACAAAAACTCCCGAAGGCCGCCG